CGCCTCACGCACTGAAATCTGGGTCTCACCTGGCCGGGCCAAGTGTGTAGGACCAGGCTAGGGTTTTCCTTTGGGTGGCTTTCTCTTGTTTCTTGCAGATGAGCTGACTTGATGGTAGGAACAAACAGACACAAAAATACTTTGCATATAAACGTCACTTTCTTGGGAACTGAGGACAGAGAGTCACAGGTCGTGTACCGAGGCAAGAGAAGAGTCTATTGTAATGGTTGAAGGAAGAGTCAGGCGAGAGGAGCAGATTGGGATTAGCATGGGCCCGATCAGCCAGACGGAACAATTAGAGTCGGGAAACCTCATAAACCTGAGACTTGAGTTTGTTTCATGACAACTGTGGAATAGGTGACGAGCTCATTCAAACTGAATAAATGAAAGATAGACCTAGACCAACGTTGTTATTTGACTGTTTTAGCCTTGTGTGAATTATTTTCATGTATTCATTTGTTTCACAAATATTTATTGAACGCTTACTATGTTAGGCACTGTGCTAGACATGAGGGAATTAAAGATGGGAAGAGCCCTGGCTGGTGTAGCTCAGTGGTTAGAGTGCCGGCCCTCGCACTGAAGGGTCTTGGGTTCAATTTTTGGTCAAGGGCACGTACCTGAGTTACAGGTTTGATTCCCACCAGCCCTGGTTGGGGCGTGTGCAGGAGGCAACCAATTGATGTGACTCTCTCTAAAAATTAATGGAAAAAATACCCTTGGGTGAGAATTAGCAACAACAACAAAAAGACCATCTCCACGTAAGGAGCAGAGTCTAACAGAAATGCTTCTACACATAAAAACGGGAGGGGCAACGATGCCTCTTGGAATGGAGGCGCAGGAAGGCTAGCAACAGTCAGACGTGCATTTCAGCAAAACCAGGATTTGTGGAGGCGGTGGTGGAGTCAAGGCTGGAATCAGGGAGATGGCAGAGCTGTGGGAAATGCTAAAAGCATCATCATGGCCGTGAGCATGAAGAGCGGGTCAGCTCACGGCCTTTAGGAAGGACCACCTGCCGTGTTCGGTGGTGGGACCGAAGAGAAGAGGCATAGACATGGAAGGTTTCAGATTTCCAGCCTGGGTGCTGGATGATATACTGTTCACATCAGGACTGGCTGTTGGAATAAAGACAGGTTTAGGGGCACATAAAATTAATTTTGAATTGTCAGAAGAGTATTCGTCTAGGGGATGTTTTCCAGCCTTTGGATATAAGGCTCAGAGTTGGGGCAAAAGGCCAGGCAGGGATGGAGACATGGGACATGTCACTGGGACGTGGGCTTGGATGGCTACAAGCGGAAGGAGAGATTCCATCATTATCCTTGAGGTCAGTCTGCCAGAAGACGTGAGTTGACCTAAGACAGTCATTAGACTACCAGAGACATGGCAGGACACCCATGTTCCTGAAAAGCCCCTAAAAGACATTGAAGGGCTCTACAGGGACTGAACACCATTGAATGGCATGTTCTTGGTTCTTTTGTAGCAGTCACTGACTGGGCAGATTTAGGTGTCTGAACATTAACCCCATTCATTCCTAACCCTCCTTCTGAGGCCCTTGACCAGTTTCCTCACCGGCGAAGTGTTGCCTTGAATTCCTCTTCCTGGCAGATGTGGGGTAAAAATAATTTTGTATTATTGTTGAAAGACGAGAGTGGTTTGAGCACAGAACCCTGAACCTTGAACCCACTCACGTTTAGAGTGACCATGTTGCCGAGGTACCCCAGGGGGCCATTTTCACATGTGCAGGGATAAACGTGGGAACTTTAAAAGAAGAGGTTCACCTTGTGCCCGGTTCCCTGCTGTTCCTGTCTGAGCATTTCCTGAAGTCGCAGAATGAATGGGGACTAGACAACGCGGATGTCTTTGAAGCCCTGGAGCTGGGTAGCACGCCAGACTGTATGCCTAATTCATTCCTCCTGCGGGGCCAGGTGGCTTGTGGTGTCAGCTGAATCACCCATCTGCTGGGCCGCTGCTGTCCTGGGGGGGTCTGTCAGGAAAGCTCCGCATGTGGGAGTCACCCCAGGTTCTGAAGCCTCCTCTTCTCTTCTCTTCCTGCGATTGCTTTGCCTGCAAGTGTCTCCTCATTCCAGCGCCTGCAGAAAGCTGTCTGTGGACCGTTCCTCTTTGAAGTTTTGAGTTGCCCTAAAATATTTATAATGTGTGGACAGGCACTTGAAAGGGGATTTAGTTTCCTGAAGACATACCTCATGACTTACAGAGGCCTTTTGATGATAAGAACTCACGTAAGGTTTCAGATGAGGGCTGCTTCGTTTAGGAACCTCTTCGACATCAGCAGGCGACTGTGTGCTCATTAAAGAACCAGGCTCAGCTCTGCTCCGGGCGAGGCACCAGCAGGCTCGTGGCCACTGCCCCCGTGGCAGTGGGCTGGTCTTGTAGATGCCTCGGGACCAGGAGGGGAACGCCGAGCTCCGTGTGTCTGTGTTGATTGGTTCTGGACTAGAGGTGGCAGCACAGGACGTGGTATTTGGTAGCCCAGGCCTCAGGAAGGTCCCCTTGACTGTGAGCTCACAGGGGACAGAAATGGCTTGCAGGCCTGGTGCCTGCCTGGCGTGATGGAGGCCAGCGATGTTAGCTGTTAGCTGTTAGAAGTTGAGCAGCAAAGGGTAATACGCTGAGGAGAGAAGGCCCCGCTTCAAGGAAGAGTAGTCAAAACCGAGAAGGAAAGAGAAAAGACCTCAGAACGAGGATCGTGCCGTTTCTCGGGAGCAGGTGTGACATCCAGCCGCAGATGTCGGATTCAAGTGCGGATTCTACAAGGAGCCAGAACAAACTGTGATGCGTGGGTGGCCCTGGTCGGGTATCTGCCTCCTCACTGTGACACTCCTGCCGGTGATTGGCTTAACACAAATATTCTAAATGAGCAATTAATTTGAGGCTTCTTGAAACTCCGTACGTAGGTGCCTTGGCAGCATAAGCCGTGGGTTGCGAATGGGTTTGCGTGGTCCTCTCTGATTTCTCCCCCTGTCCCAGTCATGCCTGGGAATGTGGACATCAGTGGAGGAATCGTGAAACATCTAAAGGATAAAATACCATGTGGTCGTTAAACATCACATTTTCAAATGACATTCATTGATAAGGGAAGGTTCTCATTATGTAATGTTACGTGAAAACAAGCAAGAAACTATATCTTGGCCCATATGGGGGACCCAGTCAATTCCTTTGGAATAAATGACCATATCCTAATTGAAGGTGGTGAAAACTGTGTGTGTTTGTGTAAAAAAGATGGGGCCGTTGATGAATACTGCCCTGCGGCTCTTGCTGTGAAACAGTGTGGACTCGTGGTCAAGGACTCTGGTGTCGTCCCAGCTTTCAACCCTTTTGGAGCCCAGGTTCTTTTTCTGGAAACGGACGTGATCGTCTGCTCTGGAATGGTCCGTAGGGGCCCTTTGGGGTCCCCCGTGCTCTGAGTTATCCTTTGAGACTGTGGACAGAGCAGAGTCATTGAGAAAGACACCACAAGGCAGGTCTCATATGGTCCGCGTCACCCTGTCAGCCAGACTTGATCAACCTTGACCTATTGTTTCCCATTGTTTTATGTGACTGTCTGGAGTTTCCACCTCGTGAGCCACCCACTGCTGCCGCTGCGTAAAGAGGCCTCCTGATTTATTAATCAATTAATCAGTGCACGCTGAGGAGCTGTTCAGGGCAGTTAAACAAGGAAAACAAAATGCTGGACACCATAATCAAGGTGGAGCGTAATTAAGAGTGCCACTCCCCTCCCGATCTTCCTGCCGCCCCGGTGACCCGCACCACCCCTCACCCTCAGCTCAGCCAACCCTCCCCAGCCCCGTGAAAGCTGACAGCAAACTTCAGAAAGGCACATTTTTTTCTAATGTCCTTGAGGAAGACAAGCCTTGAGAGAAGCCTCATCAATTATTTGCAACAATTGTTGAATCTCAGAAGTTCAACCAGGCCCCAAACATGGCCTGGTAGCTCTGTCCATACAGATGGACACTGGACTCTCCTGTCCCAATTTCCCTGCAATAGAACCATGGAGATGGTTCTGTTGATGGGCCATGGCCTGTGTGACAGATGACAGGTTCCGTGAGGCCAAGGAAGTTGTCCAAGGTCACAAAGCTAATTCGTAGCAGAACCGGAACTAGAACCCAAATGTTTTGGTACCCAGTTACCATACCTCGTGCTTATTTCTCAGTGCAATCCTGCATTCCTGGAGAAACTAAAGCAAAGTAAATGAAAGAAATCCTCCTCATTAATGTTCTTAGATATAGGCTTCTGAGCTAAAGGGTTTTTGACAGTATTAGTTTGTGGGGAAAGGAACTTGGACTGTTTGTTGAGGAGCTATTTTTCTTCTAATTGGTTGCTGCATCAGATACACGGAACCAGGCGTGGACAGCTTGCCATGGGGCAAAGGTCAACAGGGTGTACCTGCAAGGGTTGGCGTGGCTGCCGGAGCCAGCTGGGTCTCGGCCAGACTTGGTCGCGTTTGGTTTTCTTCCAACGGCACTTAGCGCACAGGGCTAAGGAAGCCAAGATGATCTCAGAATAAAATCTCTGTTCTGGGTCACAAGCAGCACCCCCATTTGTTACCAACTTTCCATGGTTACGGGGGGCCAGGGCCAGGGCCCACATTGCGTTCATCCAGAATGACCGCACTCCCTCCCTCAAGCCTGAACAAACATTTGTGCCCACTTAGCGACACCTTGGGAGGATCCACATGTGGTTATGATCCTTTAGCAGACACGGGGGAGGAGGAGGATCTGAAATGTTCTTACTTGATTGCCTGGCAAGGAGAAGGCTTAGAAATCTTTTAAAAAAAATTTCTTAAGTCTCCACCATAAAAATCTTGCATTTGTCCAATGTGTTTGTCAACTAGACACTCTTCTGCCGGTCTGGTGCTCGTTTCTGTTGGGTGTCAATCCAACTCTGAATAAATCTAGGGCTAACTTATCTCAAGTGGAATCTGCATTGCACTTACCAGGCCTGAATTATAGGGTATCTTTTTTCCCCTCTTGTGTGTTCTCCAGGATCCTGCGTTCTCGGCTGTAATCCATGACAAGCTCCAGGTGCCCAACACCATCCGCAAAGCATGGAACGACAGGGACAACCGTTGTGACATTTGTGCCACACACCTGAACCAGCTGAAGCAGGAGGCCATCCAGATGGTGCTGGCCTTGGAGCAGGCAGCGGGCAGTGAGCATGACGGCCCCCCTGGCTCTCCTCCGCCCCTCTCCAACGTGCCCACCCTGGGGGGGGCCCGGCACGCGGCAGGGCTCCAGCAGCCCAGAGACTGGGCCTTCGTGCCCGCCTCCTATGCCTCCTCCAACTACACAGCCTTCGTCACCAACAAGCACAACAGCAAACCCAACAGCCTTGGAGTCAGCAATGGGGCGGAGAAGAAGAGTGTGTCCCCAACCCATCAGGCCAAAGTCAGCCTCCAGATGGCCACCAGTCCCAGCAATGGGAACATCCTCAACTCGGTGGCCATCCAGGCTCACCAATACATGGATGGCACCTGGTCCCTGTCAAGAACCAACGGGGTCACCCTGTACCCCTACCAGGTAAGTAGCCTCTGAGCCAGGAAGAGCAGGGCTGGTTAGAGTCAGAGCAGAGCAGTGGGTGGGTCACACTTCCTCTCGCCACTCTTGTCCTTTTGGGAACTCCCCAACTCAGAGCCTAGTGTTTCCACGTGGCCCCAGTGGACGTTGCTAAATAAAGGTAAAGTGCACGAGAAGCCAGTGATCCGTGGCAGTGCTCTGCGCCCATGGTCTGTGGTGTCTGACAGAGGTGCAGCTCCCTCCCCAACTTCTCCCACCTCCATGGACCCTGTTCACTTCGCAGCTCCCTTAGTACTGCCGCAGTTAGGTTACCAAACATGTTTCCACTTCCTCTCATGTTCTTTTTCAGGTGTTCAAAGGAGCACATTCTCCCAAATTTCCCTATAGAAATAAGAGAGCAGGTCTTAAATCTGCCAAGGAATCTGAAAACATTCTCTTAACTGTTCTCGGCTGGGTTTTCTGCTGCATGAGGGTTGGGTTTGCCATAGGTGTTCTCTGTGTCCCTTGCGGAAGCGTCGCCCGTCACTGTGGCGTGGAGAGGCGCTATGGTTATGAAGTGCATTAGTCAGGGAAGACAACCTGTGTAGCAGATGAGCTCAGGTTCTTTCGTACTCATATCTGGGTTGAAGTGGTGTTCAGTGGGCGGCCTTCCATTAGGATGCAGGGGCTCAGGCTCCTCTCTAACCTCTGAGCCTGCCACCAGATCTTGCAGGAAGTGAGGGAGGAGTGTGGAGGATCTCACGGGAGGGTCTCGGGGGCCCAGCCTGGAAGGGGCGTACTCAGCTTCCACCTACATTCCCGTGACAAGAATCCAGCCTTCTGTTCCACCTTCCTTCAGGGAAGGCTGGGAAACTCAATCTGTCCTTGTGCCCAAGGGAAAGAAGCAACAAGTTGAGTGAACACAGAGCGTAGTTTTTGTGACGTGGGGCAAAGGTTCAGGGAAACAGAAAATGAGTTAAATGTGGCTGATAAACTTTCTGGTAACTTTTCTAGAGTGCGAGAGAGAATATAGGTGTTTTCTCTTGATATCTTGCAAAAAAATTGGGAGCATGGATCATTATCCTAAGAAGTGACCATTGGGCTGCCAGACGTTGATTTACTGGGTGCTTTGTAGCTTACAAAATGGAATGCACACATCATTGTATTGAACCCTGCAATAGGCCTGTGAGGGAGACAGGGCAGATGTTAGATCTTTCTGTGATGTGCTTTTTGCTTGATATACTGGGTGCATTTTCCCATGCCATTATGTATTTTTCTAAGATATGTCTAGTGGTAGCATAATATTCTATTATATGAGTACTATCCATAATTTGAATGTGTCCTAATTTATATAACCAGACATCGATTCACAGAGTTTAGGTTTTTACTACTACACATGAAATGCTCTAATGCACATCCTTCCACTCAGGTCGTATTTCCAACACATCTCGGGTTGTACCTGTTACACAGATGACTCCCATTCCACCTCCTAGGACCCCGAAGTGCTTGTAACATGTGCCAGGTGCTGGTTAGAAGACTCAGCCGCTGCACAGCACGGATGAGCGAAGACAGAGAACTTGGAAGTGGTGCTTACGTATAAAATATTCACAGTGTTGAAGACTTAGCAAGAGATGGAGGAAAGGCTGGAGATGCCGCTTAACGGGAAGATGGGGGTTAGGGAGCATTTCTGTCCTCTGTGCAGTAATTCTCTCTGCTCCTCTCCCACCCCAGATGAGGGAGAATTTCCCGCACAGCAGCAAATGCTGATCAAGCTCTAGCCAAGTGCCAGGCTGTGTGCTAGGTGTTGGGTGGGGCTCCCGCTTTAGCAGGAAACCCAGGTTTCTGCGCTGTGGGCCGTAGGGGGAGGCAGGGGAACCTCCTGCTATAAGCCAGGGCGGTGTGTGCAAAGGTAGGGAGGTGTTCACACCGCTCCTGGGGCGCACAGAAGGGCTCCCAGGGCAGTCCGTGGGGCGCGGGTGGGTTGCGGTGGCCTGAAGCCAGGTACACAAAGGATTTCTGCAAGCCACCGACGTGAGATGGTCCTGGGTGTATCCGCTCGCTTCTTTCCGACTCCAGAACAGACTGCTTCCCGCATGTCCCCTGAGCAGTCGTGAAAGCAGTCTGAGGAGAGCTCTCTGGATGAGTGAGTCGGTGCCTGGCTGTGAATCAGGGTCCCCCTGTTGTGACTGTCCTCCCCTGGAGGGGGTCTGGGACTGGCCAGACTGAGTGTCTCCTGTTGTGGACATCTCCCTGCAATAAAGTCTTTGCAGTTCATGGTCTGGCCAGCCCGGCAGAGATGGCGAGTGCTCTGAAGGCTGACCTCCCTCTTCTCAGCCACGCCCGCTTCCTTCCACACGGAGCACGTGGCCTGGGTTAGTGCCAGAGCTGGGCCCGGCCAGGAGGCATCCGGATCTGTCCCTGCTGAGGGTTCTGCTCCACACTCCCAGCCCGGAGCCCGGGAGCCGCCGTCTAAGGAGGAAGACAAGGATGAAGGCAGGCTCTGCAGCGGTGAGCAGTTGAAACCAGTGCCCGGGGCCACAGGAAGGTCCCTCAGACCCCTGAGCCCCATTACCCACGTTACCACATAACTATCTTCGTTTATCTTCCAAAGAGAGACTTTCTTCTGTTGGTTTGCGGACATTCGACACACTCTGTGCACATGCGTGAAAGCGGACGTGCTCTAGACCCTTCATTGACCGTGCGAGCTCTGGCTGAAAAGACGTACCTGCATTAGTTCCCCGTGGTCAACCATACACACGTGGCCTCTTTTTGAATGGCGGCTGCTTTTGCCTGCTTTACATTCATTGCAGCAAATACACTGCAGGAAAGACTGCGCACATGACACTCGGAATCCACCAGTGTTATAACGACGACCCAGCCATGAGTTTCCCGAGCTGGGCTAGAGTAGTAGAGGGTAAGGACATTAGAGATGATGTAACACACCTGGAGAGCACAGTCTCCTGCTAGAGGACAGACCATGGAGAGCTCGGTCTCCTGCTAGAGTACGGACCATGGAGAGCTCGGTCTCCTGCTAGAGTACGGACCATGGAGAGCTCGGTCTCCTGCTAGAGGACAGAGCTCTGGCTGAAGCCCGGGCGGGATTGTCTCTATTATATCTTTAGAAAGTTGCAGTGTCTAGAAGCACAGGCATCAGGGGAGTTTCCATTTAAGGTGCACAAGCCCAAGGGACGCGATAGCAGTACCAACCTGGACATGACGCAGAGTTTGCTGGGACCCTCTGCAGCTCCGAACCTTGTCCTCCAGAGGGCAGAAGCCTTGGGAGGAGGTGGTGCGGGGGACTTCCTAGTGTCCTGTCAAAGGAAGGCAAGCCTTTGGGAGGCAGCCCTGGCTCCAGGACCCCGAGGCTTCGTTTGTGATGGATTCATGGGACCCAGAAGCCCGTGTTCTAGTGTAGCTGCTGTCCGAGGCACAAGGTGCACCTGTGCTCGTCCTCACCGAGCCACTGTCGAAGCCACAGGGTTGGGTGTTCGCACCATCTGTCCCTGAACTGTGTCAATGTCCTGCCCGTCCCATCCCTGGAGTCCGTTTGCTGACTAGTTGCTGCTGCTCCTGCCCAGCGGGAGCAAGAGCCTGAGATGTCACAATGTGACAAATGATGACATCAGAGAGGGTTTTTTTTTTAGTATCATGGGTTTTGTTTTCTCCTGTTTATAGATGGTCAAGGGAGTATTATTTATCTTTATGCCTAATGACGAACCGTGAACACAAGAAAAGGAGTCAGTTTGTATATTCAGCCACGGACGGAGGATTTCTCAGGGAAGTGGTGCCCCGGGTGAGATTCCAGAGGGCTTGTCGCATCGAACCGGCAGGGCCGCGGTCGGGAGGGAACACGCCACCTGCATCAGGACGTTTCAGAAATATTGTCCATCTGGTCGTTTACTTGGTGTGATAAGGGCCCCCCAGCGACATTCATGTCCTGACCCCTGGAACCTGTGGATTGTAAAGGGAATGTTTGGTAGATGAGCTTAAGTGAAGGCTTTTGAGATCGGGAGAACATTCTGGATTGTCCAGGTGGGTCGGGTAGAGGCAGGAAGGTCCGAGTCAGAGAGGCGGCGGAGGCATGAGCAGAGACCAGAGAAGAAAGCAGAGGCCACGCTGCTGGCTCTCAGGCTGGATCTGGGGCCTCTAAGCTGGAAAAGCCCAGGAATCTGAGCCTCTCCTGGAGCCCCCAGATCCAGCCCTGCAGGCCCATTGCCGCCTTCTGACCCCCAGAACCCATGGACGAGAGAATCAGTGTGTGTGGTTTTAAGCTGCTAAATTCGGGGTAATCTGCTTCGGCAGAGCAGGGAGCTGATGCGCGTGGCAGCATCTGGTAGCTGGGAAGCCAGGCAGCAGAAGCTCCGTGAGGTTACAGACCGAGGAGCTGCTGCAGAACCTGCAGGGTGGCCGGGAACGTGGGCTGTTCATCCCGCCCCGTGGCTCCGACAGCACATTAGAGGTCAGCTTATTTTATTGGGGTGCTGCCACAGAGTGCGAGGTTGCTCGTACTGCACCGTTGGGTTTCTGTGGTCTCCGATTTTCCCATTGTTACAGCACCCGAGTAACAAGTGCACCACAGACACTCGCCACCGGTAGCTGGTGATTAGCCGTATGTGAGTCTCTCATACATTGAAACTGCAGAAAGCACTCCGAGCTGGGGCTGCAGGGCACGGGGAGATGCGAGCGTGTGCAGAAGGAAGCTCGGCTCCCTGCAGGGTCTCCTGACCTGACAGACGGGCGCCCATGGGACTGCCCTGGCGCCCATTACTGTCCTGAGGCCCCCGTGCACCGGAAAGCACTTGGAAAATCGCAGAGCGAAATGCGTTGGTGGGATCAGTTTTAAAGCTGGTAGGCAGGAGGCGGTCCCTGGAGACGAGCAGGGCAATAGGGGGATTTCCTTGTTTGACAGCAGGGAATTCTCAACCTCAGGTACACAGCAGAGTCACTGGGGAGAGTTAAAAAACACCGGCGCCTGAGCCACAGCGCAGACCAGCCCAATCAGAATACCCGGGGCTGGGGCCCAG